CAGGAATTTGACTTTAAACCTGACAAGTTACAGATCCCAACCCATATTGTTAGAGTGCATCCCGTCCCCTTGGCCAGGCCCACCCTGGGCTTCAAGAAAGATGAAGGAAACACATTTACATCACATCTCGGTATCTCGGTGGGTATTTCTGGCGCAGCGTGTGAAACCCACGGGGTTAGGCAATGGTTAGATAACGCGCCTGGTGCACACCAGCTGCTTTTGCTCCGATCCATCTATGTTCACTCTCACTATGACTGTTCAGAAATCAACTTGACCTTTTCATGAGAAATTCAAGCAGTTTTATGCCTAGTCAAGTCCTTCCGTAACACCCTGCGCTTTTTGCTTTATCAAGCATTTACATTTTCATCTAGAACTCCGAATGATGTTTTGCCATCGGTACTTTCGGAGATTACATGCCCAACGTGAACCAGTACAGCACCACTGAAACTGAAGATGTGCCCTGACAGATTTTAACACAAAAGAGGAGTGCTTTTAAAACAAATAAACATTCGACTTGTTTAAGTTTACAGCCATTCCAGGACCTATAAATCTACGCTCTTGCGTTTTTTAATGCTTTTCGGATGAATGTCATCAGCTTCTCTATGAACACTGTTGCATTCCTTCTTTCTGTATCACAGTTCCCCTGAAAAATTAATCAAGAAAATGAAATTTCTTAATATTTAACCATTACACGGAGCTTTTTCATCTTGAAATCGTTTGATAAATGATATGATTTTTTCCTTAAACTTTAAACATGCTGATCACACATATGAATCGTTTTTTTAGAGACAGGTCAAGCGGAAGACTAGAGCAAGGGAAGGGTAAAAACATGAAATAATGCCAGGATTTCTTCTTCCATGGGCTCAACACAAGCAAGTACAAAAATTATTCTCTCTCCTGTACACCTAAGGTCTTAATTATTAATTATGGATCATATTTTATTACATCTCTGCTGCATGATCTCTGATAGACACGAAGAACACTCCTACCTCTTTTGCCAGGTTTGGTGCGAGCGATTGCTTCAGTCTTTCAAATTTCTGGAAAACACTGCTGAATTTTTTCATGGCTGGATTAGTTTTCAGCAGTTCCATTCCTTCAAAGATTGTGCTGACACAATTCACATCCTAAGACGGAAGAAACAGCAAAACTGAGATACAAGAATTTGTAACCATGAACTACAAGTTTATTACAAATCATCTTGAGTTGAATCCAGCTGCCTGGGTGGCAAAGGAATTGTTACTGGCTCTATGGCTCGTGTTTGAGGCAAACATGCTTCACTGGTGTGCACATTTATTTATTCCACAGACAGAAACCAGGCTGATGGTCATTTCTGCTAGAGTATGGTTTGTAACATCCAGATGAAGCTTATAATGAGCTAAAAGCTTAGTCCTCTCTCTTCTGCAGCCATCTGAAGAACAGTTTGATTTCTTACATCTGCTCGTGTCAGCAGACCATTCTGGTTTATGTCTTTGGTTTGGATGTGAGATGTTTTCTGGCCCAGAAACTGGAGCTGCCTGAACACCCGAGGAAAAAAAAAAATCAATGAATTTGAAAATACTCCAGACATTAACCTCTGCGACAGCTGCTGACTGCTTGCCAGGATGGTCCCACTCTCAGCTCACAGCCCTGTTTGCCTCTTTCTGTCCCAAGGAGGGGAGAGGACACGCTGGTCCTCTGCTAGAAAGTGGTACCTGGCATTTGTCTCCAAGACCTTATGATCCAGACAGGGCAGCCAGAAGGACTGGAAGGGACGCAGGATGGAAGCAAAGCAGAGTGATGATGGTTGCACTTGCCAGTGCGGGGTTGTTTTGGAAGAGACCAGTTAAACTGACGGAGAAGGAAAGGAGAGGACATGACCGTCAGCAGCAGGAACAGATTGAAGTGTAAGGGGAGAAAAAAAGTGGTGAAAAACGAAGAAAAAACTAATCAGCGAAGGCTGGAGAAGATGCAGACAGCTGCTGAACACCAGCATCGTGCTCATGACGTCCTTGACCAACGCGGGATCGTCTGTTAGTCATTCCTGGACGCTGAATGATGAGGAAGATCATTTTTCCCACAACTTTGCTTGGGAAGCTGCATCCTTCTGCCACGGACGGAGAACAAATACAGAGACACTGGGAAATGCTCTGTCATGTCTTTGCCTGAAGCACAGGTGAGAGCGAAGCAGCTCTTCTCCCTGGAGAAGAGCCGGGCACTGGTGCGATGGGCTGCGGTGGCACCGCCAGGAACCTCGGCAGGGAAAGGGACGAGCGAGCTGCTGGCGTTTGGCACCGCTGGTTCTGGGTCTGGTCTCATCATTAAAACCTCAGAGTTAAGCCCAGCCCAAGCCCCAGCCTGGGGAGAGAACTGCTCCAGACAGGATCCAGACAGAGCTGGGAACTCCACACTTATTTTACAAGGAATGGGCTGGATTTGCCACCAAAAAAACCTCCACCCTCCTGTAACCATCTTACAGCACAAATGTGAATTATTCTGCTCCTTCCATACATGAATGACTCAGTTTGCATTCCCAGGAATAGCCGTCTGGCTGTGGGATTATCCAAAGAGCTCTGGGCTGGGCTGGGATCTCGTGTTGAAACCAAGCTTCCAGCTGATGCACAGCAAGGAAAGAAAAAAAGCCTCATGAGCAGCGTCTGCATCAGAGGAAGTTGTTGAAAGTTAGAAGGAAAAGGAGCTTTTTATATTGAGAGGGAATAGGAGAGATTTATTGGAGATGCAGAGATGGCAAATGCATAAAGGAGGATTTGATCTCTAAGACAGGCTCAGTCATGGACACAGGGTAGTTGGTGTCTTCTTCTCGGGGCATTAACACCCTCCTCCAGACAAGGTGTGCCAATGCAACTAGTGAATCCCCTTCCTGATGGTAAAGGTAGAAAAAGCCATTTCTAAAAGTAGACTAGACAACCAAAAAGATGTATTTGTACAGATGAACAAGCAGGAGATGTGCACGAGTGTGTTCTTCCCTTCCTCACTTCTGTTAGAAAATCAGAATTCAGAAAATCACTCTGTCCCTTGTCCATGTTCTGCAGGAGATTTACAAAACCATCAAACAGGAATATTTGCTGTTCTTGGCTATTTTTATATCACAGCATCTTTTTCTTTGACTCAACTTTCGATTGTTTTTAATAACATCCTATATCTTCCAATAACAGTTAATATCTTTAACAACATCTTATATTAGCTACATTTAAAGTCATTCTTCTTCAATACAAATAGAGTATTTTAGGAGATAACAATTTTAAAACTATCTCAATTTCCAATGACTAAATTTATTTAAAAGTTAACTTTATTTTTTTTTTTAAAAAGGGAGTTTTACTTACATCTATATTGTCTGGAGTTTCAATCCTCAGATTCTGAAAAAAAAAAAAGATATTAATTAAGCCTTTCAAATATCATCTCCATTAACAGTAATAAAAATGAAATGTCACATAAATAGATGGTTTGACTTTCCAAAAAGTTAAATATTCAAGAAAAGGAGAGTTCAGTATATCCAATTTTAGGTTAATAGAGTGGAAATTGAAGTCACCTGAACATCCTTTGCCATGGAGCCGTGCATTCGCTGCAGTAAGGTCAGTAATTCAGCCAAGCTGCTCATCTGGGGAGCAGCAGAGATGCCTGCAGCCAGCAGGAGAAGGTACAGATGGGTCTTCATCCTTCCGAGGTGCTCAGAGAACCGGTAAGTGCTTCTGGACCGGTCCTCATTTTATAGTCTCTCTGCAAGGAAATAACAGTTTAGGTTGATTTTTGAAACTGATAGGACACATAAAAAAAAATAAAGGTCGTTTGTTGAGACTTTCTGGAAGAGAAAGGTTCCAGTAAATTTGGTGTTTAACCTTGTGGCACACTCCTTACCCAATCAGCATTTCCACAGAAGTAGGTAACAGAGATACAAGGATGTGGCCTTTCCATTTGCAAGTCAGTAAAACATAGAATGACCCAAAGCATCATCGAGCAGTTGCCATCTCCACGGCACTTCTCTAGAAATTGGGGTTTCTCTGATAACGGCGTGTGATCTTCTGATAGGCAATAGGAAAAAGAGTGTGATGTAAGTGGGAAAAAATAAAACAAACCCAACTCCCACGGGAAATATGTGGATCTCTGCCTGGAAAGGGAACGCGACAGCGTTTGTGCAATACTGGTGGAGAAGTTTTGTTAAAATGCAGGTATTCTGTAAGGATTCATTTATTTATGGCAGGAGAAGCTGCGTGAGCTGGAGAGGGCGAGCGGGTGGCGTGGGGATGGGCGCAGAGGGGCAGCTCCTTCGGGTGGGGAAGGAAGGATGCGGGATGCTGGGAGCGTGTTCACCCGGAGCTGGTGGGCAGAGCTGGGGCTGGGGGTTTCATTCTGTGCCCTCACTGTCCCACTCGCTGCCAGGAACCAGCCAGGGGGAAACCCGCCAGCTTTGTGAGGGTCCTGTCTAAGGTCTTAATTCATTAATTCAAGCGTTATGACTTGTTATCTGGCCAAATCAGACAACTCAGTGACTTGTCTTCCTCTCTTTCCTGGAAGGTGGCAAAAGTTCTTTTTTATTTATTTTTTTTTTTAAAAAGGTGTCATTTTTTGAAAACTACCATCACTCCTCACTTTCTGTGTGCGGGTTCACGTGTCCCAGACCCAGAGCTGCTGGGCAGGAACAGATCTGTCAGCTCCACGCTGCATGGTGGGGTGACCCAGAGCCCAACGCTGCAGCAGTTGTGAGTAAGCACCTCAATATCTCCATACTTTGAAGTCAAAAATTTAGCTCAAGCCAACCTGCGGGCTGATTGCTGCCCAGTTTAACATCTCTAACAGGAACAGGGGTTTTTTCATACCTTGTGCTTATCCATAGAGTTTTTTCACCATGTAGCTCCAAGGACCATATCCCTGCGGAACACAGACTCTGCATCAGTGCATCACTGGGAGCTCGGCAGAGAAGCTGCCTGGTGCTACCAGTTGCCCTCAGGATGGATTTGTGAGTCCTGCAGCTGAAAATATGAACCCCTGTTCCTGATCTGTGGTGTTTTTGGTGTTACACAGCTTGTTTCTTTTGGTCTCTTACAAACCATGATTTTTTGGGCAAAGCCACCTTTGGCTGGTGCCCAGGTGGTACCTGCCAGCCCAGCTGAGGTTTGACCCCACCACTGAAGAGCTCCAACTCCATTTGAATTGCTGTGGGACCCCAGGGTTGGTTGGGAAATCTCTCTTTTTCACCTTTTCCTTGGCCCATGGTTGGTCCATCTCTTACCACAGCAGTTCCCATGGCTGCTGTGAGGGATCACCCACGGATCTGCCTGCTGCCACCATGGTCCCCCCACCTCAGCTCTCCCCATGCTGGGGCTGTTCATCGCAGAGAACATCTGTCTCCACTTCTGTTCCTGGCCAGCACCACTGCCAACAGATTTCGTGTCTCTGGCCTTTCCTTTTCCTTCCTCTCTTGCATTTGGAATTTTTGACCACTTCTGCAGAACACTATCACTGCCCCAGAACCTTCTATGAGCTGGAGAATTTATTTTATTTCCCCTTTGGCAATTCTGTGTGTGTGTATTCAGGAGATAATTCCCAGTTCCCAAGAAAGATAGCAGGTTTTTATTGCAAATATCAGTAGCAGGAGCTGGTCATTCAGCAGAGCTTTGGCAAACTCCCAAAGGAGCAAGATTGGTTCTTCACCACTGTACAGCCACTCTGGCTTCTTGTGGCATCCTCCAAGATCGTTAGACTTTGCAGTGCAAGGGGGTTTAATTTTCCTTTTTTTTTCTTCTTTTCCTTTCTTTTCCCCCTCTTCTGCTCAAGGTGCCAGTACTACTCATGTAGTTTCTCTCCCTAAGCTGGCTTGGTGTCCCTACACAAACTCTACTCCCATCTTCCAGCCTCATATTCATTATTATTCAAATAATTTGGGTTTTTTTTTTCACACGTGAGTGCAGGATTAAGAAGCTGAAGGATGATGTAAGAACAAAACATGGCAACGTAAGCAACAGGTCCTGACCTTCTCGGTCCTGTACACCTTTGATCCCTGGAGCTCTAGGATTTGTCTGATCTGTGGCTTTGCACCACAAACTCTGATGGAATTGGTAAAAATAGGAATAGGAATAAGAATAGGGAGAGGAATGAGAAAAGAATAAGAGTAAGAAAAAGAATAAGAAAATATTTCTGAAGGAACTTTGGAGGCTGGAGAAAAAGACAGTGAGTAGAAATCCAAACTGGTGACCCAATTTGAATTCGGAGCCATCAGGAGTATGGAAGTGAATAATTAATGTAAATAATTAGTGAATTCATTAATTCTGATACTAATAAATAGATATTCCAGCAGGAGTCAGGGTGTGACAAGCAGTGTTTGTGTTATCACTCTGTCCAAGTCCCTTGGAGGAGGGTGGAGAGAGGTGGGGGTGGGTCTGTTCAACCAAGGAACAAGGGACAGGACAAGAGGAAATGGCCTCCAGTTGTGCCCAGGGCAGGTGAGATGGGATGTGAGTAAGAATTTCTTTGCTGCAAGGGTTCTGAGGCATTGGAAGGGGTTGCCCAGGGCAGTGGTGGAGTCCCCATCCCTGGAGGGATTGAAGAGTCGTGTAGACACAGTGCTGAGGGACATGGGTTAGTCGGGGACTGGTCAGTGTTGGGTTCATGGTTGGACTCCATGATCTTAAAGGGCTTTTCCAATCCAGGCCATTCTGGGATTCTGTGATTATTGAAAACAGAATCAGAAGATGCCCCACGGGTGGGAAGAGCTGTCCTCAAAGCTGGGCACGGTGCTGATGCCGGAGCTGGCAGCTGGGATCATCCCCAGGGCATCTGGCAGCGGCCGTTCCCGGGGGTGGGTGTCTGTGTTCACGGGCTTGATGGACTCTGCAAACGCTGTGTAAGTGTTGAGTAAGTCTGCCGTAAGTCTGCCGTAAGTCTGCCATCACAATGTGCTCACCAGGCCCATAACGGGCAAGACTAAACTCAGTTTGCTTAAGCATGAGCTTTTCTGAGCTTGCTTGTGGCTCAGCTGCAGTGCCAGCCCCTGGGCAGGAGCTGCTCAGCACTTGCTGCCTGGTCCCCAGCACAGGATTGATCCCCTTGTGCTGTGGCAATGCCACCAAGACCCTGCAGAGACCATGGCAGCTTGAAACACAGCAGTGCCCGGGGAGGAGGACCTAAAGCAGCACACAGGAACCAGCAAACTCTGGTGTGCTACTGTCACTTTCGTATCGTTTTGCTGCCATCACTAGCTGGAAGCTGCAACTCTTTGCAGTAGCTGGTTTTGCTCCTTCATCTAGATAAGGACAAAGTTACGATGCTCAGATAAGGTTTCTTCACCTTTACGTGATGCAGCGTGGAGATGGTGCAGCAGCTTGTGCTCCTCGAGCCTGTGTGACCCAAGAAAATAGACATTTCTGAAAATCAGGGAATGGATTTCATCTCCTAGACCATCTTTCCCCTGAAGATGGCAAGGGCTGCTCGAACGGCTGCGGTCCTTGGCCAGGGCAGGTCCCAGGAAAGGTGGAGGATGGGGTAGGGTGCAGGTAATGCTGGGGGTGCTTTTGGTGGGGACCTCTCTACAATCTCACCCCTTCTCTCCTGTCCCGGGGTGTCAGGAGCAAGAGGGGGCCAAGGGGTGTCCAAGGAGGGTCTGAGGGGGATCTGAGAGGTGTCCAAGGGAGGTTCAAAGGGGTCCGAGGGGTGTCCAAGGGGGGTCCAAAGGGGTCCAAGGGGTGTCCTCTAGTGCCCCAGTGCTGCAGGCCGGGGTGTGCAGCCCACAGGAGCTGTTGAGGGGATGCACCACAAACTGGTGTGTGGGTGTTTCGGTGGTAAATGGGATGAATGTGTGGGGGTAAACGGAGCCTTAGGACAGAGTGACATTTGTGACAGACTCTGCGTTGTGTCCTTTTCCTCCCTTATCTGAAAGGGCAGGCTAGATGTATGAGGAGATCATGGGGCTTTGGAGACCGTATCTTGTTCTTTAAATCCTCTTGAATGAAGGGGCAGCTTTTGACTAAGCCAACCTTGCACATGGAAACTACATTTCAACAGTTCACCTCGCTGGTAAACGTTGTGTCTCATTTGTTCAAGTGCTTCCGGGGCACTGCTGACGTGGCTGTGATGTCCCACCTGAGCAGATGCTCTGTGGCCCCGTAGGGATTTCAGCTGCAGCCAGTGTCACCTATTTGACCACATAAAAATCTGCAGCCGTGGTTTGGGGGAAACCCTCCTGACCAGCCCTTTCTCTTTGCTCTGGGAAAGCAGAGCTGCTCAGAACCACAGGGTTTGTCTTCTCCTGAGCTGGATCCACCCAAGGAGAGCTCCAGCCACCTGCTCTCCTTTCTATTAGAGTAGGAATAGGCTGTTACTCACCTGCAGAAATGTTTCAATACTTTCTGCTGGGGGCTTAGTTTGAAGCAGTTCAGCTGAAATGGAGTTTTCTCTTATCCTGGCAAGTTTTCTGACCCCAAACTGCCCCATCTCCTGAGGTTGTAGAGATCTTGAGTTCTACTCTCACCTCTAGCAGACAGCGAAAGAGAAAAGCCAGGGAAGTGCAAGAAGCAGTTGCTAGCAGGGAGCTTTGAGTCATCATCAAGGTATTTAGGGAACCAATCCATAGGTGTTTGTTGCCTCGGTGGGGTGGCTGGGTAAGTGAGGTGGGTAGGGATGTGCAAACCCAGCTGGGATGCTCTGAGCAGAAATCCTGCTTCA